GATAAGCTAACTCTAAAGAATATTGATGAAGGGGTCCCACTGACAGGTGTCATATTCAATGACACCGCTTTGCCGGCAGACTTATTCTCTACAGAAACGGTATCGTCAGTGGTCCTTTTGTCTGGAGCCAAATTGACAGGAGCCTTTTTGTCGTGAGCCTAAATGACGCTAGCCTATTTGTCGGAGGTCGTAATGACGGGGGCCATTTTGTGCAGAAACTAAATGGCGGGAGCCTATTTGTTGGGAGTCGTAATGACGGGGGCCGTTTTGTGGAAAAAACTAAATGACGGGAGCCTATATGTCGGGAGCCAAAATGACGGGAGCCTATTTGTCAGGAGCCTTATTGACTGGAGCGCTTTTGTCGGGAGCCTATATAACGGGAGCCTATTAGTCGGGAGCCTAGAACTTACTAAACGAACGGGGCAAATAGCACCCGGTTAGGGCGCCGAACGATGCCCTAGATTCGATTTATTTAAGGACTATAGTAACCCTCCTTATCCATTGTATATCGCAATGTATAGAACGAACGTAGGCACAATAGCGCTAATGGTAAGCTTCGGGGCTCCAAGTAACACTCTGTCGGGGCGCTAGCGGACGCTCAGGACTCCATTTAGTGAACGACTATAATACTCCATCTTATTCGCAAATGGAAAGATATGATTTAACGTTTAGGAACGGCTTCTAAATTGTTATTGATCAAACATATAATTAGTAAATAGTACATTCAGTGTTTAAAATAAATAAAAGATAGTATTTAAAATACCCCTGTTTTACCTACCACAATGCACTATATCAATCCATGCTAATTATTTAATTTTTTTCAATATTTAAACAAAATAATAAAAGTATTTTTTCCCGATGTTTTTTTTTTTTTTTTTTTTTTTGTGATTTATCAAGGATTGTAACTGGTACTTAGGAACTAAGGGAAGTAATGTATACATTTTTTTTTTCAGAATTTTTGTGAAGGGTAATACATTTAATTTTATATTGTTCTTTCCACATGACATTTAAAATGATCAGTTTAAAAAAGGAACATTTTTTTATAAAAACATCAATATTGATTTTTTTAAACATCAATTTAGACTTAAGTAAAAGAATAAAAACTTTAAGAATTTACACTATTGCGATCACGTCGAACTTTTTACTATATTCAAGTGTTCCACGTGTCCGACCAACCGCTGTCCGCTCCATACATACAGAGATACAGAGTCCATTTGAGCTATATATATTAGACGAGCCGACCCGTGGTATAGCATAAGCCGCTATTCTCTACATAAGTACGCATTTTAAAAGTCTAAACATAGTGTAGATACTCTGATCTCGCTATACCGACAAATTATATATATATATATATATATATATATATATATATATATATATATATATATATATATATATATATATATATATATATATATGTATATATATATATACATAGGCCTATATATATATATATATATATATACATATATATATATATATATATACATATATATATATATATATATATATATATATATATATATATATATATATATACATAGGCCTATATATATATATATATATATATATATAGAAAGATAGAAAGAGAGAGAGAGAGAGAGAGATACAAAATTCAATAGTTTTAATTTATTTGCTTATTAAAATAAACTCATTGATTATTTTACACTTTCACTTAAAAAAAAAATTAGTGAGCTACTTACAGGTTAGATATCCAGGATGGACCACAATAGGAACACACAGCGTCAATTTGCGCTGGTGGGCTGCTGCTGTACACAGAGCCAATGCTACTTATGCCATCATTAATGCAACCAGCTTAGTCACGTTAGTAAACGTGTCTTCTGGAGCTTCTGAAGCAACTTTGACTAATCTTGTCCCAGGAACTGTATATAGCTTGAAGATAAGAACTGATTTACCAAGAGACAGCTACTATAATAATCTAAGTTCCAGTGTATATTTTCCTCCTTTAGTGACTTGTAAGTTGCGTTATCTGCCATTCACTTCTAAAATTATATAATGATAATATTTTAACGAAGTGTCTACTCGGAATAAGATTTTTCGGCAAAAGATAGTTCTGCGCATGCGCAGTGACCCATGGCTAGGGTTAGGGCTAGAATGAGGTTTAGGGGTAGGATTAGGGTTAGGATTACGGCTAGGGTTAGGGTTAGGGATAGGATTAGGGCTAGGGTTAGGATTAGGGTTAGGGATAGGATTAGGGATAGGGTTAAGGATAGGATTAGGGTTGGTATTAGGGTTCTGCGGTTGTAAACAGACGCATGCGCAGTACCATCGAAAACATCGCCGCTAAGTCGTAGTTTCTCCCCATTGCGCATGCGTATCGCATGCGTATCTTATTCCGACTAGAATCGGCCATATTTTAATTATATTTAGTGAAATGTTGTAATAGTGCAGAAAATCAAAAGCGATTTTTTTACAAATCTCGACGATTAACACAAATCTGAACTTAGTTTTGCAATTTTG